AATCTGCCTTGGGATCGTGACGATGGAGGGACGAGTAACCACACCGATAACCACCGCAGCCACCACGTCGAGCGACCCGCTGAGCGACCCACTGAGCTCATGCAGTTGACGACCGCCATGCCTGAATGCAACACACAGAACGAACTTAGTGTTAGTGCACGAATGTCAGTCGCATTCCTCGTAGCAGACAACGAACGCACCACCCAGTAGAAGTGTAAGTTTGCTAAATGTAAGTGGCCGACACTATTTTTGTGTGGTACTGGTACTGGAATTGGGACGGGTACTGGTTCTGGGAATATGACTCTAGACTGGTACTGGTTTTGGGAAAAACTCTCGTCAGTGACGATACTTGCACATAGTTCTGAGTTTCCCGTAAACATTATTTGTACCCCTATTTGTAAGTTCTCAAATATTAACTTTTCGTTACTCTTACTACTGGTATTAATGGATATCGATATGAGAAAATTGGAGAATTTCGTAAATATCAGGAAATAGCAGTACTAATGCATTTATTTTAGACGCGGTATGCAAATTCATGCGTTGTTGACGGTATTAAATACCAAAAATCAGAGAGATTGACCATATAGTAGATATTTTGGACTATACTGGGAATACCGAAGAGTGAGGTATGGACTCGGTGAACGTAACCTGGGCTAACATTCGTACAACATTCAAGAGCTCATTGCATTAGTGCCATTGCCCACTACAGTTCGACAGGATGTCTGTACTGACACTCTGTACCGATGCTATACAGTGCGAGTACAGTGTGTTTGTGCAGTTTGTTTGTACAGTACACTGTGCCAGTTATGCAGTGCGAATACCGTGTTTCTACAGTATGCAAGTTAACGAAGTGTACTATCTTGATGTCGTTATTGGAAAAGCATAGTTAATCATGTAGATAGCTGTAGTAGCGCAATTTCCGACGTCCAGCAGTTCGAGTGGCAACTTGAATCTCGATTGGTGCAAGATGGCTACATTCTCAACTTTTAGTTTTGATAACCACCAATAATCCGGTTGTTTTGTTGAGAAAAAAACTAATTTTAGTAACAGTGATTTCTTTATTCAGACCTTGAACTGGAGACACAAGGAATGAGCACAGGAGATTTGCTCTCTGTACATATGCAGCTCAGAGTAAGCGTATGATTTACGGTCAGTGTACAGCTCCGAGAATGCACAGGAATTTCAGCCAGTGCGTACAGTATTACGATTTCCAGCCGCCAATCTCCCAAAAATCCACTTAATCGTGGGATTGAATTTGAGCGAGCCCAGCTCTTCATAACAGCACTAGCAATTAGAGTTGAGACATTATTGTGCTTTGCAGCGATTTTGGCTAATCCAGATGACTTTTGGCCACTTTAAGTGACAAGAGGAGTCGCTTTATACTTAAGCGAGAACATAAAAACTGTTGGTCAGGACATTTTAAGGTAAAAATAATGCGTTTTGCACACTTGACATTGCTAAAGTGGATGAATTAGCCAGCCTGCGAAGTTGCTATATGTAACGGGGTTACACGCAAGTGGCTACATGTAGCCACTTGAGTGCGACAATGGTCTGTGTGCATTTATACTTCCTATTGGTTGAAA